GCACGCGGTCCTCTGAGCTGTGTTTGCTGGTCGGTGGGGTGAGGGGACCATGCGGTCCTCTGTTTGCTGGTCGGTGGGATGGGGGGAGGAGGGGACCATGCGGTCCTCTGTTTGCTGGTCGGTGGGATGGGGGGAGGCACACGGTCCTCTGAGCTGTGTTTACTGGTCGGTGGGGTGGGGGCACCATGCAGTCCTCTGAGCTATGCTTAGTGGTTGGTGGGGTTGGGGGCGGGGATCATGCAGTCCTCTGAGCTGTGCTTAGTGGTCGATGGGGTGGGGGTGGAGGGGACCATGCAGTCCTCTGAGCTATGCTTAGTGGTTGGTGGGGTTGGGGGCGGGGATCATGCAGTCCTCTGAGCTGTGCTTAGTGGTCGATGGGGTGGGGGTGGAGGGGACCATGCAGTCCTCTGAGCTATGCTTAGTGGTTGGTGGGGTTGGGGGCGGGGATCATGCAGTCCTCTGAGCTGTGCTTAGTGGTCGATGGGGTGGGGGTGGAGGGGACCATGCAGTCCTCTGAGCTATGCTTAGTGGTTGGTGGGGTTGGGGGCGGGGATCATGCAGTCCTCTGAGCTGTGCTTAGTGGTCGATGGGGTGGGGGTGGAGGGGACCATGCAGTCCTCTGAGCTATGCTTAGTGGTTGGTGGGGTTGGGGGCGGGGATCATGCAGTCCTCTGAGCTGTGCTTAGTGGTCGATGGGGTGGGGGTGGAGGGGACCATGCAGTCCTCTGAGCTATGCTTAGTGGTTGGTGGGGTTGGGGGCGGGGATCATGCAGTCCTCTGAGCTGTGCTTAGTGGTCGATGGGGTGGGGGTGGAGGGGACCATGCAGTCCTCTGAGCTATGCTTAGTGGTTGGTGGGGTTGGGGGCGGGGATCATGCAGTCCTCTGAGCTGTGCTTAGTGGTCGATGGGGTGGGGGTGGAGGGGACCATGCAGTCCTCTGAGCTATGCTTAGTGGTTGGTGGGGTTGGGGGCGGGGATCATGCAGTCCTCTGAGCTGTGCTTAGTGGTCGATGGGGTGGGGGTGGAGGGGACCATGCAGTCCTCTGAGCTATGCTTAGTGGTTGGTGGGGTTGGGGGCGGGGATCATGCAGTCCTCTGAGCTGTGCTTAGTGGTCGATGGGGTGGGGGTGGAGGGGACCATGCAGTCCTCTGAGCTATGCTTAGTGGTTGGTGGGGTTGGGGGCGGGGATCATGCAGTCCTCTGAGCTGTGCTTAGTGGTCGATGGGGTGGGGGTGGAGGGGACCATGCAGTCCTCTGAGCTATGCTTAGTGGTTGGTGGGGTTGGGGGCGGGGATCATGCAGTCCTCTGAGCTGTGCTTAGTGGTCGATGGGGTGGGGGTGGAGGGGACCATGCAGTCCTCTGAGCTATGCTTAGTGGTTGGTGGGGTTGGGGGCGGGGATCATGCAGTCCTCTGAGCTGTGCTTAGTGGTCGATGGGGTGGGGGTGGAGGGGACCATGCAGTCCTCTGAGCTATGCTTAGTGGTTGGTGGGGTTGGGGGCGGGGATCATGCAGTCCTCTGAGCTGTGCTTAGTGGTCGATGGGGTGGGGGTGGAGGGGACCATGCAGTCCTCTGAGCTATGCTTAGTGGTTGGTGGGGTTGGGGGCGGGGATCATGCAGTCCTCTGAGCTGTGCTTAGTGGTCGATGGGGTGGGGGTGGAGGGGACCATGCAGTCCTCTGAGCTATGCTTAGTGGTTGGTGGGGTTGGGGGCGGGGATCATGCAGTCCTCTGAGCTGTGCTTAGTGGTCGATGGGGTGGGGGTGGAGGGGACCATGCAGTCCTCTGAGCTATGCTTAGTGGTTGGTGGGGTTGGGGGCGGGGATCATGCAGTCCTCTGAGCTGTGCTTAGTGGTCGATGGGGTGGGGGTGGAGGGGACCATGCAGTCCTCTGAGCTGTGTTTGCTGGTCGGTGGGGTGGGGGCACCATGCAGTCCTCTGAGCTGTATTTTCTCCTGCCCTCCTAAGTGCAAGTGCCTTCAGCCTGATGATGGCCAAGTCTGAACACACCCCGCCTGCGAGTGGCTGCAGGTAAGGCCAGCGCCCTGTCTGCAGGACAGCCGGCAGACTTGCTGTTAGAGGACAGTTTGGGGGTGGCTGTTGGAGGCTCACTTTGGGGGAGTGATGTGACCTTTTCAGGCTCGGCTAAACCCCATCAGTCTGCACAGCCGTGTCAGTGTGAATGGCTGTGCCCTGGCCTCCCAGACACCAGCTGTGTCCCCACGGGCTGCCCAGAGCCCTCGCAGGGTGCCTGCTGCCACAGCACTCGCCAGCTCCACTCTGTAAACCTTGCCAAGCTCTGGGCGTGCTCATCTGGAACGTTCCTCAGCCCCTAGGTATTTGGTACGGATACTCCTTCCGTCCATAGACATTCCCTCATCGCCTCTAGGAGAAAACCAAGCCTGCTCCTGGGCACACGTGCTCCTCCCACAGGTGGCCTCAGAGACCCAACTCCGAGCTCTCTGCACCTCTGGTCCAAACTGCCCATCTCCACCAGCAAGGCCCCCTGCCCTGTCTCCTCCCGGGTCTCTGTCCTCACGCGTAAAACCTTCCTCACACTCACTGTCCACGTGCACATCCCAGTCCCCACCACTCGGTCCTTGTCCCCGAGAGACAGGGAAGGAGACAGCAGCAGCCCCCAAAACCATGGTCGACCTTGCCCTCCCCAGGCAAAGCCAAGCTCTGACTCTTGGGGAAAGGAGCGTGGTTGGAGGGACTTCCCCACGCATAGTAATTCTCGACGGGGGTGACTAGTCTGCAGGGGGTTCTGGTGCCGTCAGTGATGGGGTGCAGCGGGCAGGGCAGAGATGCTGCTGAGCACCACCCCACACTCACTCCAAAGAGGACGCCTCGGGCCCTCACACCTGCCCGCCTCTCTCTCGTCCCCCGCAGCAGCGAGCAGTCTGCCAAAGCGGACACACACAAGGAGCTGGTGAAGACGCTGAAGGAGCTGAAGGTCCACCTCCCTGCAGACAAGAAGGCCAAGGGCAAGGCCAGCACGCTGGCCACCTTGAAGTACGCCTTGAGGAGCGTGAAGCAGGTGAAAGGTACGTCCCCGCGCCCCGTGCACACCTGTAGGGATGAGTTTTTGACCCCCAGACTACAGCCAGGATTGTGCTGTTTCTGAAGGGAATAAAAGCCTGATGAAGCCGCAATTGAGTGGAAACCTCGGTTTGTTGGCAGCAGGAAAACAAACAAAACAGATGGAAAACCAGCATGTCAAAGAAATTCCTTTACCACATCAAACTTGTGCCCTGGGCTGGGGTCAGGTCATGTTCAGAAGTCAGGTCCAGGCTCTGACTGGATGTTGGTGTCTGGGACGATGAGGCCGAGTCCGGAAGACCGTCACACTCTGCTCTGACCTGTGGCAGAGCCCGGCTCTACGAGCAGCCCGGGATGGGATTAAAGCAGAACACCTCTCAGCGTCTGCCTGGGGACCGGCGCTCCTTTAGCACACCACGTGGAGACAGAGGCAGGTACTTCCAGGTCTTAGCCCGAGACGGTCCTTCCGGCGAGCTTCTCCATCCGAGACCAGGCCGGGCACGTCTCGTGTGTGTCAAGTTGGTTTCCGCCCTGGTGGTCGCTTCACCCAGGAATGGAGGAGGCAGCGAGGCAGAGTGAGGCGGCTGCTTCCATCCGTGTGTGCATTTGGATTTTAGCTGGTTGGCAAGGTGAAAGAGTTCTTAGACCTGGTCAGTGGCAAGACTGAGGCTTCATGTGACGCTGCGGGTGCAGAACTGCCGGCCGGGCGGAGGGTCCACCGACACACGCAGCAGGTTCTGGGATGCTCACATCATCGAGTCCACTGCTTTACTGCTCGGTGGGCTGCCAAGTCCCTCAGGTGCCACCCACTCGAGCTGGGCCGCCCCTCAGTTGCTCCTGCACTGTGAGTCCAGCTCCAGAAAGGCCCATCTCCTCTGGTGCCCAGAGATCACAGCAGAAATCATGGTGCATTCTCCACCTCGTCGCACCTTGTCGTTCTTAGGCGTGTCCCACTCTTGACACCAAAAACCACCAGCTCCTGGGCTTCAAGGAATCCCTTAGCCAGCTGGCCCTTCGCGACAAGCAGGTGGAGACGTGAGCATCTCGCTCGGGCTCTTTGCATGGCCAAAGGCCTCTGCTCACACACTGTACATGTGCAGTCAGGTGTTGGTCCTGCACATTAGAGATGGCATGAGGCCCAGCACGGAGCAGCATACGGCTTAGACGTTGTGCAAGGTCCCGGGTTGATCACCCGTCTAACCTAAAGGCCAGGGACAGGGACACACATCTGTAATCCCAGTTCCTCGGGAGACTGAGGCAGGAAGATTGCAACTTGTACCCTGTCTTAACTAAAAAGAATGCAAGCCTGCTCCATAGCCTAGTGGTTACAGGAGCCCACACAGCCAATCACAGTTCAGGTCCCAGCCACGGTGGCTCAGAAAGCACACGGGGAGCATGGGGCGCATGCCCCAAATCCTGACCAGGCGGAGACACAGAGAAGGGACTGTGGCGTGGTCGTGCCCTATGGGGTGTGATTCCTCCCTTTCTCTCTCTGTCTCTCGCTAGCAAACACACATTCCCTCTGAAATTAAAAATGCATACAAATAGAAAAGTCTGAAAGGCCGAGATAAAGGGGGCACTCGGGCGGTATTCTGCTCCCATCGGTTTCTGTCCCAAGGCATGGCATGCATTTGGGCCGGGCTGGGTACAAATGTGTATTTCAGCCTGTCTTCCCTGGCTAACTGTGAGCACCCTTTCCTGGTAGAGGCGGGTCATCTCGGCTCCTCATCTCGGGTCCCTGAGCTGGCGGAGAATGGTGGTCTGCTGTTTGCCGGCTACATGCACTTCTCCAGCATCCTCCACACACTCACTCAGCCGTGTCTGTCTTGTCAGGCTGACAGGCAAGCCAGAGTCCACTGCTGCAGTGCCCCCAGATGGGCACCACACCGTGGCAGGCCCAGCTCTGGGGCTGCGCCACCTTTTCCAGGAGGAGCAGCTGGAGGGGAAAGCTCACTCCAGCCCGTCGGGCCACTCTACCTTTGTTGTGCCAGTTCAGGGTGTTAAGTCCCTGGCATTTGCAGTAACTTCAGAACTTGGAAGCACTGCCAAATTGTGATGTCTCCTCACCTTCTGGTGGCTTCTGTCTGGATTCGAGAGTGTTCTCGGAGATCTCCAGACTCTGGGTGGAGAGCTTGAAGACAGCTAAGGGAGGCCGGCATCCTGCGGTCTCACCACCACGGCAGGAAGCTCCACAGACTGGCCCTGGCTGCTCCTTCTCCTGGGCTAGTGGCAGCCTCGAGGCAGCTCGTTCCCCCTTCTGGAGCAGTGACCATTGCCACTCATGCACGGTGACATGTGGAGGCAGGCCTGGTCACCCCGAAGTCCTGTGGTGAGCCCAGGGTGGTGCGAGAACTAGGACTGAGTGGCCCTTGTCTACTGATTCTGTTTGGAGCAGCGTCTTCCAGACGGTGCCTCTCTGGTTTGTAAGCAGCGGATTCTGCCTGGACGGGGTATCTGACCGGGCCTCCCAAGAAGTCCAGTGCAGGTCGGCACACGAGCCCTGTGCAGGAACATCCACGTTGACCATGACTGAAGACTTCTGGAGAACCGAAAGCTGGGCAAAACTCTGAGCTTATTTCACTTTGCCTGTTTATTCTTTTAACAATCCTGTAGTCACAGGCTCTCTGATGTCCGGGGGGAAGCCCGGGTTTTGGTATGTGGGTTTGGCCCTCAGCATTCCGTGTGCTCTCTGCGTGTCCCAGGAAGACAGGGGAGGGGTCCCAGAGAGTGCCTAGAAAGTGCACGTTGTCAAAGAGCCACGCGTGGGTTCCCAGATTTTTTTGGCACCAAAATAAACTCATACTTTATCCATTTTCTACAAACTTTCTGAAGTCCCCTCTTACCTGGACCCCACTTCTTCACTGAGGACGGTAGAGCTCCCAGCCTCTGAGAGTTAGTCAGTCCCCAGCCCTTCTGATTCGCCCACTGTGTCACGTCCCCACAGCGAACGAGGAGTACTACCAGCTGCTGATGGCCAGCGAGAGCCACCCCTGCGGCGCGGACGTGCCTTCTTACTCCACAGACGAAATCGAGAGTGTCACCTCCGAGTACCTCGTGAAGAATCCGGTGCGTGTCTTTGGCTGGCGTGTCCCCGTGTAAATGGGACGCTTCACCTGGCAGGCTGGCCGAGGCCC